ATCGCATAGGAGTTGTGGACAAGTTCTTCCTGCGATTACTGGTGGTCTCTCACAGTGGCAATTGTTACTAAAAGGTCATATTTTAAACTAAATACAGTATTTTTGCAGATTTTGCTTTACCTAACGAGGATGGCTTGCTGCAACTGCCTGTGCAGAAGCCAAAAATGTCATATGCAAAGTTAAGAGCTCCCTGAATGCAATTACAGTGGTGACAGTTATTCTGGCTAATTAGTTGGAAAACCCAAAAATAGCAACTGGTGAGATTACAATGAGGGAGCTAGCCTGGGAGCTCCTTGGTGGTGGTGACAAACACTTAGGTTTGTAAGCCCTTGGCCAGGGAGGGGAGGTGACTAGGGGTTCGTAAAGTGGCTGGAGTGTTGTCTTAGATGAACTGAGAACTAATATATGTTTAGCTAATACTTTTCTACAGAAAGCACTATGCTCCTCTTTGTAAGCTAGAGGAAGGATGAGGTTGCTCATCTGTGACAAATGTCACCAGTAATCGCGTGCTGAGTGAGATGGGTCTGTGGAGGAGAACTGCAGCTGGCTGAGGTGTAAACATGCTGGGGTTTTCGGTGTGGAAGTCGGTCACTGGGATGAGGGACCCAGCAAACCCTGTGCCGTGCAGATGTCAGAGCTTGCCATCTGCAAAACGCTGCTCCTGTGGCCATCACCCTGAAACCGGGTGACTCCTTTGGGAACACACCGTCCTTGGCCTGCCCTCTTTTCCTGCCTGCGTGCTGCCGGGGGTATGCTGACTGAATGTGTGCCAGTGCTTGGACCGGCACCTGGGTGTGCTGGGGCAGCAGTAGCGTAGGAGTAGGTGGCCAGTCTGATGCTGTGTGACTCGACTGGTGTTAGCAGCGGAATGCAGCATCCAGGCACCGCTTACCTGGGCGAGGGGCTTGCCGCGCTGGGGCTCGCGTTTGCTATTACCCGTTTTGATTGGCAAAAGCGCTTGATTGTTTCAGGTCAATGCTGAATTAAAACAGAACTTTAAGCTGGTTTTAAATGTGTATGTTTAACTTGCCGAAACTTCCAGGCTTCAATTACGTTTGGTTTAGTTGCAACAATTAGTAAAAAAGGTCAGTGGCAATTAATTATGACAACATAATTGGCCACGTGTTCGCAGTTTAGATCTGTTACATTTGGGCACACTTTTTTGAAGTTTTAATTGTAGTCTGACTTGATATTGGAGTTGTCAGGCACTCTGCTGAACAAGTGGAAAAGCTGTTGATGACCTTCATGTAATACGAAGAGACATCTGTTGTGTTACTGCAATATCACATTAGGTATCAGTGTGTGTGGCTTTTTAAAACCAACTTAATATCTGGTTGTAGAGAAGCAGTAGCTCAAGGATTTGTATAGTGTCACTTTTAGTCTGGAATTACTGCTAAGTTGTTACACTAGTGAGGACTCTAAACTACCCTTTGGATGAGAAAATGAGTCCCCAGACTGAAAGCTTTTCATATGGCTGCATCATTAACTGTGTTCTCAGGGCCTTGTATAACTTCCAAAACTGTATCACTTCTTGTTGTCTTTTGTTTCTATCCCTCTTTCCCCCCCCCTCCCCCCCCATTAAAATGTTCTCATATTTTGATGTGAAGTGTTTGATTATGGTTTTGAAAAGTTCAGCTGGCCTCGGTGAGAATGTGAGTGAAGGAGCTCTGGAAAATGAGGTTTCCCAAAGCCTCAAGTACCTGGCTCTAGCAGAGCTGAGTGTCAGCGTGGTGCCTTACAGAATCATGTGAAGTGGGGTTTTTGTGTGTTTTCTTTTCCTTTGCTTTTTTGTTTTATTACTTTCTGGTAAGTTGTCACAGGGCTCTCCCAGCATCACATGAGAGCCAGCCTGAAGCCTCCAGCCTGAAGCCTCCGTGTGTTTTGAAACTCACAGCTGACTGAATCTGGCTGCTTTATGGTCTCTTGCTGCAATTAATGTGTTGCAAATGGACACGGGAAGCCAGTTCTCTTTAGTGGCTTCTTACTGGAACATCAGAACTGATGAAAGTCTTTAGATAGTTTGGATAAAACAGTGAAAGCTTCAGCATTTGAATATAACATACTCTCACAGTTGAGAGGAGGAGGGTGATTCGATTTTTCCTCTTAACCCTCATCATCATTGTATCCTGGCCTCCTGAAGTCTGTCTTTGCAATACTTCTTGTGAAATGGTTTTCTCTGTATAGGCTTTCTCATCATTGAGACCTAAACTTTGACAACACTAAGTATAATTAAATAAAGCCTATTATGCAAAGGCTATTATTGATAATAGATTAAATGGGTAGTCTTAATGGAATTTATCTGCAGTGCCAGGTATCTGTAGTGCTAAGACCTGCAGGTCACAGTTCAGTTATTTAATGCTTTATGTCTCTTTTCTTTTTGTCTTTTTTTTTTTAAAGTTATACTCCTAAGTAAATATCTCTGATGGCTAACCCTCTTGTTTGTTTGCTTTCCCCCTTTTTTTGTCTTCCCTCTACCCAGTGAGGCTGCATCAAAATGTCTCTCTATCCTTCCTTAGAAGATCTGAAGGTGGACAAAGTTATTCAGGTATGGTGGGCTGCAATAAGATGAGCTTTGATGACAATAATACATCTGGTGATTCAGTTCTCTCAATACTTCTATGATTATCACATTTGTGTAAAACCCTTTGTGTGTAAGAGTATTGGTAGCTTTGTTATTAGGCAGGACGAGGAGGAAAAAAACCATGTGAAACAAAATACGGAAAAAAATTGATAAAGACTCCATCAGAAATTTGCCATGAATGTATTTTATAAGGAGTTTCCTTGCTTTCTTCAGCATTTTGCCTAGCTTCCATTTTTATTTCCTAAACTTAAACTAGATTCCCTTCCAGTTCAAACAACAGCAGTGAGTTATACTGCATTTGAAGGTGACTGCTACTTCTATCCTTGTCCTTCTCACTGGGAAGCAATCGAGCAAACTGCACAGAACAGCTTATTGACTCTCCGGTGCTGTCTGAAAGTGGAGTGCATCAGTCTCACCTCTGTTGATGTGTGTGGGGTGGAGCTCTTGAAGTTGTAGGTGCTGTGTTAGGATTTCTCATGGTTGTGTCTGCCTACCTTGCCCTGTTCTTCTTATCTTTCTAAAGTCCTTTATGTACAGTTAGGTAATGCTGCACTGGTGGGGGGGGAAGTAGCATGGAGCCAAGAATGTGATCCTTCAGCCTTTTAATAACCAGCTGCTAGAGTTTATATATTACAATTAAAAATATTAAATGTGGTCTTTCTGCTACTTAACTTCTGTGACCACTGAATGAAGCAGTGAGGAAATGGATGTAGGGTATCTCTGTGAGTCCTGCAAACCTTAAACCATAGATAGCTGTTCTGTCATTTTATAGAGCAGGCCCTTTTCTGATACCCTCTCTTGCCCATATGCTTAGCAGGCTTTATGAACTTGGGTGAGTGCCTTGTTCATGTAATTACACCTGTAGTCTATTGTGGTGTTTCACAGACAAGTAAGAGTAAACTCTGTGAAGGTTTCTGTAGGGAGTGTAACAAACTGTTCTGTTAAGCGAGTTTTATCCTTGTTGACGCTGTAATCTCAAAGTTCAGGTTTCCAGAAGAAACAGTTCATACAGGACAGATTCTTGCTTTCATAGTTACAGATGACTGTGCACTCAAAGTTTAAATTAGGATTTCGGAGTTCTGCGACTTGATGAGTGAGATGTCAAGCAAGACAGCCTGTGAGAAAATTCCCATGGGGGTGGGAGAGAGGGGAGGTAGAGCCAGAGGCATTCCCTTACAGATCCCCAGTGGAGAGGCTTGGGTGTTCTCATTGCCATCGTCCATGGGGAAGGTTGCCCTTCAGCAGTTATGTGACAGCATCTCATTTCTGCAAACAGAACTACAAGGAGTGATGGGCTGTGTACTGAGTATAGCTGTGAGAGAGGAGAAGTAAATACTGTTGTTGCTAAATACCACTGTTTCAAGAGTAAGCCATTCCACTTTCACTAATATTTTTGGTAGAAAAGGTGCCTCTCCCAAAAAGTGCCTTATAAAAATGCTGTCTTTTTAAATATGTCTGAGAGTACTCTTCGGAGAAAGACTTTGTACTCTTTCAGAGTACTGAAAGACAAAGTCTCTATCTGGAAGTGACCGAGATTAAAATGATTGCTGGTTAAAACAAACACACTTGTATTAAATATTCTACCCTGTTCTTTTTGTCCAGCATTTGAGTTGGAGGCTATTCTTCTAAATACATCTGATATTGATAAATAATGAGTCATTCTTGCTCTGAAACTTTTTTTCTAACAACAACTTCCTGGAGAGTACAGGACTACGAAGTCTTCTATTTTTAAGCATGATTTCCGTAAAAACATTGAGTAATTTTACCATCATCTTGTGTTAGATGATTTGTGTGTCCTGTTCAGCGTAATGTTTTGCTATGCATTCAGTAATTCCACCCCACCCCCCACCAAGGAAAACTATTGGGATAGCTATTTTCATCACACTTCACAGGCCTCTGTAAGGCAGTGTTTTTCACTTGTCATGATTACACAAGGACAAAAAAGTAGTAGCTGAGGTACTGAGAAGGAAGGAAACTGTCTTTCTTTAATATTTGTGAGTCAGTAAGCAATATAGAAACTAGGCTGAGTGTGTTCGCTGTAGTGGCAGCTTCTGTAGAAAAATCATCTTAGAAGGTCCGTTTATTTCATAAGGTATAAAACTGGTACCATTGGATTGTGTGGTGGAACTTCACCTGCAACCTATAAGGGACTGTGGCAGAACTCATGAATAACGTCTGTAAATGGTGAAGCGATAAAAATGGCTGCTATCCAGCTGAAAAAAGTAATCCCAAAACACTCTGCCAAAGGTCATACCTTGAAACTTAGTCATAAAGCTTTGTCAGCAAGATTTAGTGTGTCTTTTAAGGAGATCTTTTGCTCTTTAACTTGCTTAATGACAAAAGCAGAACAAGTTGACAGTAAAGCCTTTCTGCATTATTACTGTAGCATTGTCTCTGAGGAAGATACAGGTTGATCTACTGAAGTAGTTTATATTGTATTGAAGCATATTGTATTGAAATTACTCATCTCAAAGAAAAAGATTGACTTCAGAGCTTAAAGATTAATAGTAACTAGCATGTACAAGAAAAAAAAAATGCTTAGTCTCCTGGCTGCATAATAAAAGATTTTGTAGATTTTTCTTGTAGAAGATAATGTATGTGAGTTTCTTTGCTTTTAGGCTCAGACTGCCTTTTCTTCAAATCCAGCTAATCCAGCAATCTTGTCTGAAGCTTCTGCTCCTATTCCTCAGGATGGAGGTAAGCTCATGTGCTGTATAGCATCCTAGTGTTGTGGAAACCTAAAGATACAGTATAGTCAAAAATATCTATAAATATGCCATTCTACTTACTAAGCATCAGACCATGCCTTTTTGGAAAGGCCAACACCACCACCACTCAGCCCAAACCACCCTGGCAGAGGTGCTGTAGGAGTCAAAAAATGGTGTTCACTTATAAAAGGAAGTTGTGGCAAACACTAACCCTCCTAAATTTTCAAAACCTTTTCCAAGTGAGCCTACCATAACAAGATCTGCTTTTGGTACCATTTGAGCTCTTTTTAGCTCTTACCTCAAAAGCTTAGTTGTCATGGTTTAAGTGTATTTTTTGTATGATTTAGAGGGCAGCATGAGTCCGAGTGCCTTTCCTCTCCACATGAGCTTCCTTCGGAACAAACACACACAAATCTTTGTCAACAGAGAAGTGCCCAGGAAGGTGGAACTTAAACTAGTAGGTTACGCTTGGCCAAAAAAGCCTAAAACTTTTGACCAGCCTGACCAGCAGCAGTGCTGGAGCAGCTGTCAAGAATGCTCATGGATCAGGTATTAAAGCCTGGTGGGTGTAACTGTTTCTCCAGTTCTGCTCTTGGTGCTGGTGTGTCTAAGATGACTTTATGGCAGGAGTTTGTGTAGCTCACAAGAGAGCCACGTCTCATTGACTCTTTCTGGAATAGATACGTACTTGACCTAGCCTCACAGACCAGATTTAAGTTTGCTTCAGAAGTACCTTCTTGGCAGCATTCTTTCTGCTGTCTTGAGTTTTAATTCTGTGATTTTTGTGCCTGTGGCCAAATGATGTAATTTTGACATCACCTTGTGTGTGAATTGCTGAGGGGCTGCATGTGGGAGAATAGTGATTATCATTCAATATATCTCAAAGGAAGGGAGGCCTACACTGTTTGTAGGATGTGCCAAACCTGCTGGGAATACTCCTGTCCTGGAAGAGGCACGAGAATATACAACATCAAGAGCTTTTGAATGTTTTCTGCTATGTGGAGTTGTCTGTTTTGAATGAGAATGTGATACAGCCAGCAAAGATGCATCCTGTGTCAATGAAGAACAAAAGAGAAAAGTCTAATAGCTGCAAAAGTCTTGTGCAACTTTAATTTTGTATAATCCTTGAGGTTTGAAAACACAAGCAGAAGACAGGCATAGAAGAAGTACTGATGAAACTACAAGCTGATAGGTCAGTCTGGAAATAAACTCAGGACAGTTCTCATGTGAAGCAGCATGCAAGCATGACCACTGAAAGTATTAAGGAGCAAAAAAAGTCTCTCAGTTATATTGGAATTCACCTTGCAATGACCTTTGTGTTCCTTCCCAGAAAAGTTGCTTTCTATTTCTAGTCAAATGTGGATTAGAATAGCTGGTTTTATATATGTACCCATAAATGAACGTGAGAAACCCAAGCTTTGTGAGGTGGGGAGGCTGCTTGCTTCCAAGGCCGCCCCTTGCACCACCTCACTTTCTGAGCAGCCTTTTTGTCCTCACTGCTTTGGGGAGAATGGTGGGTGGACTCTTAGGAGTTCTCATAACTGCTACTTGTTAAATGGCATCAGTTAATTATCTGGGGAATGTCAAGAGCAATACCAAGCTCGTTTCTGGAGTGGTTTGACTCAAGGTCTGACAAATCTGTCAATTTAACTTCCTTTCCTCCCAGTCCCTGCACCCTGCTCTTGAGAGTAGAGGAATCTCCTGATGGATATTTTAAGGGCCATGCTTGGTTTGTCTTGTTGAGAAGCACATCTAAACCCACTTCGTTCTGAAGCTATGAGAAAATGACAGCTACTTTCTTATGAAGGCTATTAAAGCAGACTGCACTGTGAGCCCTACAGCCATGAGGCTGTTTTCTGCAGAAACTTTACCATGCCTGGGATCTGGAATGTCCTTGGCATGGATGCCTCTTGCAAGTGCTGTCTTGCACTAGGTGGAAAATCAGAGTGCGTGTGTGTGCGTGCACATGCATGTGTGTTCTCCAGCATACCTGGTTTGGGGGTGGGAGGGAGCAGAGTTCCCTAGTAATTGCCTAAAAGCTTTGGAGCAAGGACATGTCTTCATGGACTGCAGCACAACCTTGGTTTTGGAACTTATCACCATGTGACTGATGTTTGTGCCATAAAGGATGAATGGAGTAACTGAGAGTAAGCCCTCTGTAAGCATTTTATCTCAAAAGTGCTGCTGGTCTGGTTGCTTTTCTAAACTGGGCTAGAAGAACACTCCTGATTCAAGTGGGTCTTCCATCATCATAATTTTCAAACAATGTTACAATAGCACAAGATGTGTTGAAGTAACTGTACATGTGAAAGCAGTAAGTGCTTGTTCTGTTAAACCAACAATTGAATTGATGGAGTTTTTTGTTTTGTTTTTTTCTCCTATAGGCTTATACCCCCGATTGTATCCAGAACTTTCTCAGTATATGGGCCTGAGCCTCAGTGAGGAGGAGGTGCAGAGAAACCTACCAGTGGCAGCAGCTCCTCAGCCACAGGGTGTAGGTACCAGTCAAGCATCTTTTAGAAAGCAAAAGTATAAAGACTAAATGTATATCTAGCATTCTAGAGAGTAGACTACTATTTAAGTATTATACCTGACTGATAAATTAGTTGTTTTAAGCAACAGTGCCTATTTTTCATTGGTCTTAAGCTGAGCAGTATATTTCCAGTCTTGGTGAGGTGGGGAAGAGCTGGTGTTGTGACTTAATTTGTGTGTTGTTTTTGTTTGTTTGTTTGGGTTTTGTTTTGGGTTTTTTTTAATATCACTTAATATAAACTGATGTATAGCTATTTTTAAAAGTTGAAACTAAGTTGTCTGGCTATTTTGTTTTAATCAGCAACTGGTAACACGACCTTCTACTAATTACATGGTAGCTCCAGTGACTGGAAATGATATTGGAATTCGCAGAGCAGAAATTAAGCAAGGCATCCGTGAAGCAATTTTATGTAAAGATCAAGATGGCAAAATTGGACTTCGCCTTAAGTCTGTTGACAATGTAAGTGTAGGAGTTTGCTTTTGCCTATAGAGATCTTGCTGCTGGATTAAATTAGTAGTGAAGTTAATGTATGGTCACAAAACTGTCGTCTATGTAATGATTATCCATTATAAGAATTTTAAAATCCTTCATTATGTCAGTAACTAGGTTTCCAGCTGCCTGGACTAGGATCTAAATTTACAGCAGCAGTTTACTTCCATATATTTTATAACACCTTAAAAATACCTGGTGGGGTTTCTTGGGGGGGG